AAGTTCGGGTGAAGTTTAAACCCAAATGTACTTTGCCTCCCGTGACAGACAGATGGAGGCAAAACTGTAGTGAAGTTGCAAGAGCATAGGAATTGGCATATTTGGGACATATTAGGCACTGGGAAAAAGAAGCTAGGAATTCGACATAATTTGTTTTGTAATGATATTATAGCAATTTTACATTATATGTATATGTTTGTTCGGATATAGTTTGTTAAAAATATCGCAAAAATATGTTTTTCATTGATTTCATTACTGTCTACCAGATTTTAAAAATTTTCCAAAAATTTTGATGTGTATCGGATTTTTCAAAAAACTCGTTAGGTTTTATATGTTATCGGTTCTTTCCAAATATCTGGTAATTGTATCCCGTATTTTGTAAATACCGTAGTATTTCTTTACAAAATGTTTGATATTTCTGCATACTTTTGGGAAATATCTGGTACACTTGAAAAAAAAATCTGAAAATTCTTCATCCAAACAGTAAAATTTACAACAACAAAAAAACAAAACAATATCTCCACCAAAAATCTGGTATTCATCTAAACTTTTAAAAAAACTATGAATTTTTAAGAAGGACCTAAGCGTAATCATAGCCCCCTTGTGGGGTGTGTCATACTCCAATTTTGTCCGGATATTTTAATCCCTTTGATACATGTCTATTTGTCAACTTTTACATTTTTTTAGCCATATTAATTTTTATTATCAAATAAAGTCACCATAACCGTGCATATATGTGTGATAGTAAAGAAGTCAACATTTTACATGTTGAAGAAATTGACTAAATTTGTATTTTTTTTAATATGAATTAAAAAAAAATTCATGATCATTTTGATTTATCATCATAATATCCATTTGAATTTTATTAATCATTTTCATGCATAATAAAACAAAAATCATTATTGTTATAAGGTCCAAAATATCTCTCATTTATTACATCATTATTCCATGCACATATTACATAATTATTCACTATTTAATTAAATTAGTTTCTAGAAGACACTCACCACTCTTTACATAATTCATAAACTACCCTTTTTAAAGTCTATAAATAAAATCATTCTCATTCACAAATCTCACTATCAATCATTCACTAAACTAAACCAAAGCTCTCTTTATTTTTCTCTTCATTTTCTTTCAAGTCATTTGTTTCTTTTTATTGAATAGGTAGACTCTTATGCTTTGTTCTTTATTTAATTCTATTGCATTTTTACTCTTGCTTTATTTATTTAGTACATTAACCATCACCATTTTGCATGGAAACTCAATTAATTTTAAATTAAGAGTTGAAAAGTGTTCTTGAACCTCCATAAATAAAAGTGATTTTTTGTTGTTTAATGGCTCTTATGCTTGTTGTTTATTTAATTTTATTACATTTTTTACTTTTGCTTTATTTATTTAGTACCTTAATCATCAACATTTTGCACGAAAACTCAATTTATTTTAAATCAAGATTTGAAAAGTGTTCTTGAACCTCCATAAACAAAATGGGTAAAATGTAAATTAATGCTTGTTTTACATAAATAATGTATCCAATAACTTCCTAACATCACCCCAAGCATGAATTTATTGTTCGTTTGTCATGAGGGTGAATAAAATGACTGAATCAAGCAAATATATGTTGCTGCATTTTGTTGATTTTCAAATTTTTGTTGTTATTTATTTGCTGATTTAAACATATCATTGTGTTAATGAGATCGAGTAGATAAATTTTCATTATTTATTTGCTTAATTCCTTAAAAAATTGAGAAAGTTATGGTGTTTTTACGTTTTCATTAGAACCATTTTATTTTATTTTTGTTGCTACGGGAATAGTAACCAAATGTGGGATGGGGAAGATGAACTCTCCTCACGCCCCCATATTGTTTGGTGCACCCCTATGAGGTCCCCCTTCTTTGGGCCTATAGCATTTTCCTAGTCACACCCCAATTTTCAGCATGTTTTTGTCTTTCGTATATTTTTTTGTTTATTGTTTTCTTATTATTGCTTTATTTATTTATTTTTGTATCTTTTTTATTTTCTTTAGTTTTTTAAAATTATTTTACCTCTTGTATTGATAGCGTGTCCCCCCCCCCCCCTTTTTTTATTTTTTAATTATTAGTGTTTTATTTTAGTTTATGTTGTTTCTTCTAATTAATGCGTGATTATTAATTCAAAAAGATAAGTTGATCTTTAAAATTAACCTTTCAAAAATACGAAAATCAAATGTGTTTGATCAACATCAAGTACACTTTTTAAAATCATGCAAAAACCTTTCCAAACCAAAATCAATCGCTTAACATCCATTAACTTTCACAAATAAAATCAATCATTTGAAAAAATCAACTTGGTCCAACACCAAGCAAATTTTCCAAAATCTTTTCCATCGATTAATTTTGTGTCGAGGCGAATTAAATCTTTCTCGTTTAAGCGTAACGTTAAAATATTTTTCTTAAACAAACACGAAAGAAATGGATTATTGGAGTCTCGCATTCCTTGAATCCTTGAATGATTGCTCTTGAGGCATACGCCTTGGGTTAGCTTTCATTCGCTCTTTTCATTTTTAAAACACTTAACCTTTTTCTTAATCAAATAACGGAAAAAAAATGGGTCATTGGAGTCTTGCGTTCCTTGAATCCTTGAATGATTGCTCTCGAGACACACGTCTTAGGTTAGCTTTTCATTCGCTCTTTTCGTTTCTAAAAACATCTAACATAATAACTTGGATGAAAGGAAGGGTCATTAGAGTCTAACATTCTAATGGAACCTTTGAACAATCAACTCTGAGTCATATGCCTCGTTCTTGTTGAAAGCTCGTTGTCCATCAAACAAATATATAATTAATTGAATGAAAAAGGTATCATTAGGATCTAGCACTCTAGTAATACCCCAATTAATTGGTTTCGAGGCCCACATCTCGTTCTTACCGATTATTCGCCATTTACCTTAAAAAAACCTTCAAACACGTCAAATTTACTTTCTCTCCCCTCGCGCGATTGAAAACCTTTCATAAGAGAACCTTTGTCTAATCCTTTCTAACGCGTATAAACTTGCGCTTAAGCCTCCTCCACGAGTAAGCAAGCCACATTTTACTGTTAGAATGCAATCTAAACACCCGTTAACCCTTAACGCACTTTAATCAAATTCAAATTTTTTTTTCAAAAAAACATTACTCAATCCCTTCTAACGAGTATACAAACTAGCGCTTAAGTCTCCCCCGCGACCATGCAAGCCAATGTTTAACCCTTAGAATGTGATCTAAGTACTTGTTCAATAAAACAAACAAACTGTAGCCTTCCCCCGAACTAAGAAGCTTTAGGGTGTGTTTGGTTCGAGGTAGATGGAGTGGAGGGAAAATTTTTAATTAAATATGTTTGGTTCAAATCTTAGGAAGGGAGGGGAGGGGAGCAAAATCCCTCCAAAACACACTTTTGGTTCCCTCCGAATTGGGGGGATTTGGAGGGGAGGGGAGAGAATATGAGTTTTGATATTTAAATTTTATTATATTTACTAAAATATCCTCAGTTTAATTTCAGTATTTCAAAACTATTCGTTTTCTTTCGTGTCATTGCTTTTTCTGATTGTTTCCATCAACTTATTATAATTGTTCTCCACCTTCAAATTATTTTATAATTTCTATACTTAATATAAATCATAATCATTGTCTTTTTTTTTATAAAAAAAATTATGTTTAGTTATATTCATTTTTTTTCTTTTAATTTTGTTATGTACTCTATCATATTTTCTTTTATATCAAATTGTAAACCATTCATTTTATTTATTTTTGTTTATTCATTTTATTAAATAATTTGAACCATTAATATTTAATAATAAGTTAGTTTATATATTTGTTTTGTTATATGATTCATCACAATTTAAACGATATTATTGGCATATAGTTTAATTTATGTTGGAAAGTTATAAGTCGAATCAGTTGTACTCAATTTTTTTAACTTTATGTGACAAATAAATACTTTTTTAATTACTCAATATTAGAAATTTTATTACCAACAAAAATACGCATGAATTTTTTACATTTTAATATCATATGACTTATATAAGATCATAAGGATAAAAATGTAAATTATTAATAAAACCCCCCCCTCCCCTTCTGAACCAAACACATTTTTAATTAAAATCCCTCCCTTCCCCTCCCCTCATCTCTTTTGAACCAAATACTTATCTGATTAAAAAAATCATTCACCTCCCCTCCCCTCCCCTCCCCTTCATTAAAATCCCTCCCCTCCCCCTCATTTGAACCAAACAGACGCTTAAGTTCCTTATTGCACCCGAGGATACGTAGGAACGAGACCTGCAATCTCATCAAGCACCCTAATAAAAACATTTTTGTGACCTTTTTTCTCTTCTCTTTATATTTTATCACTCAAAGAAAACAAATGACATAAGCTAACACTCAATCGCAAGTTTAAATAAAAGGTTTCCGTTGAGTACAACGAACGTAAGGGGTGATAATATCTTTCCCTTGCGTAATTGACTCCCGAAATCGAATTTGGTTGCGATGACCATTTTATATTTTAAAGGTTTTATCAATATTTTCCTTTTCTTTCATTTGAATAAATAAAGTTCGGTGGCAACTGTGTTCGAACTATTTTCCGCGAGTGTGCGAGACGCTTCGTGAAGGATCGTATTTTCGAGATTCGGCAGAGTGCCAGGTCAAAGTTAGGGGTGGCAGGATAGATCTTTCAATAATAATCATATGTCACAAAATTCTCTTGACGAAAAAACTGAATAAAATTAGAAAGAGAAACTCATATGATGAGTTTGGTGTTCCCCAATTGATAAAAATTCTAATTAAAGATTGGTGTAATTAAGCTTATTAATTTAAGTGTTTTAGCTTCAATATATTGAATAAAAAAAATACCCATCATACATTATCACATAAAGTTCGCCTAAAAAATTGGAGATAAAAATTATGTAATAACATACTAAAATAAAAAAGTTTGAGAAAACCACAGTCTTAATAGGCCCTTTCTAACTTTGCTCTTCCTTGCAAGACTTTTCTATCCATGAACTTTTTTAACCTGCAATTCCATTAACAATAAAATATATTTTAGTAGTGTAAAAACAATAAAATATTATTTATAATAAATGAAAAAAATTAAAATAAAAACCATCAAAGTAATATATAAAAAATAGAAAATGGGCAATATGGATTATGTTTCTCATATATTTAACATTTTATTCATTCATGAGTAATGTGAAATTTAACCGCTCACACTTTTACCCAACAATATCTCCCACAAATGTGACTTCGCACCTTTTATAACATAATCCAACATAAGATTCAACTCCTGCTCCCCACTAAACCAAATCAGGATCTCTCCTATCATTTGTTGGAGAGTCTAAGGAAGACATGAGCAACAACAGAACCAATATTTTATAAAGAGGGAGAGACACTGCATCTTCATCCAAAATCTTTAGATATTAAAATATATGAGTCACTATTCTTATTATTTCAATATTTTATCTATTCGTAGGCAATGTGATACTTCACAGCATAAGATCCAACTCCATATTTCCCATTAAGTTGAAGCATGGACTTAAACTTAAATACGACTTATTAGATAATCTGAGAAAGAAGAAAGCAACAAAGGGACCAATTCTCCATGACCATAAGAGAGGTAACCCCCATATCTTCACTTAAAATCTTAATTCATTAGATATATGAATCACCTTTCTATAGTTACCCTAGCTCAAGGAATCTTTCAACCTTCAATCTGCAGGATAAGTTTTCGTGCAATCAGACTTCAAATCAGTTCAACATGAACATTAGAGCTCGTGGAAGCACATAAGTGATTGTAGCAAAACAATCTTAGTAGTAGCATGTACAAGACTTCTATATTTTCCCTCAACATTAGACCTAGAAACCAATGCATGTTTCTTAGCCCACCATAAAACTAAATTAGGCCCGAGAAAGATGTAGGCACCTGATATGGATAGTCTCTCATCTCGGTCAGAAGCACAAATAACATCATACGAACCACTTATGGTGATAGGAGTTTTGATGTTAGCTGCAACTAGAAGAAGTCCATGATTAAGGGTTCCTTGTAGATATTTTAAAATTCTTTTGACATCCTTCCAATGATCCCAAAAGGGATTAGAGAGTAATTTTCAAAATTTGTTCCCATTAAAAGAAATTTCAAATATAGTAATTTTAGCATATTGTAAATTTCATGCAATGAACCTGCACATTGTTGGGTCAACAACATTGCTTGAGCCTACTTTGGACATTTTGGTGCTAAATTCCACGGATGAAACAATGCCTTTGGCATAGGCCATGCTTGTGGTAAGTAGATCTTTCAAATACTTATTTGAGATAAGAGGAAAAAACTATTAGATAGATGATGAATTTTTATACCCAAGAAGTAGCCAAGTCTCCCTAGGTTTTTTTAGAGAGAATGAGAGATTAAGTTTTGTGATGAGTTGTTGGATGAATGTTTTTTATGTTCTAGTGATTCTTATGTCATCCACATAGACTAGAACAAGAGTGCATTGAGTGGGAGTGTGCAATACAAAGAGAAAAAGGGCCACACTTTCTAGCAGTGAAGTTAAAAGAGAGAATATCACCTTTTAAATTGTCAAACAAGGCCCTTAATGGAGTGTTTGAGGCCATACAAGGACTTATTGACTTTTCATACCAATTTATAGTCACTTTTTCAAAGCTAAGAGATTGAACCGTCTACACCTCTTCATTAAAAAATCTATTAAGTAAGCCATTGTTTATATCCAGTTGCTAAATGGCCCAGTCTTGAAAGATAATAAGAGTATGGATAATTCTCACAGTACTTGGCTTGAGCACAAGTGAAAATGTCTTAGTCTAGTCAAACCACTCCACTTGGTGAAAGCCTTTGGCTATAAACCTAACCTTGTATTTTTTTTTAAAGTTTCATCATGATTTCCTTTTGTTGTGAATCATATACCTTGAGACAAAGTATAAACAGTTTCTGAATGATCAAGAAACATACAAGGGTTAGGGTTAATAAAGAAGATAAGGTAAAACAACAAGGAACAACAAGGATTTATTATTAAACTACTATTATTTCCTTTCTCTTAGAACAATATTACAAGTATACAAGAATAACAAAATAACCTCTCTCTCTTGAAATTAGTATTTTATCTTCCTATTTTTTCTTATGCCAAGATTGAGAAACTAGCATCCTATTTATAATAAAAATAGCACACTAACCTAATGGGTAATTTAACAATTACCCATTACAAGCTAACTTAAATAATTGAGCTTACAAGCAAGGCCCAATTCAACATACTAACAACCCTAGCAATATTGACTAATGCATGTTAGAACAAACTTCGACTACAACACGCATTACTCACGAACAGACTTCAACCATACTAGAGTTTGATACAACATCTCACAAATCTCCACCTTAGATCTAACTCTATAACATCAAGAAACTAACTTTCTTCATGCAACTTTATTAACTGCATACAGTGGAAAAACTTGCAACTGGGCAACTTCTTGGTGATCATATCAGCAACATTATGATTTGTCGAAACCTTCAGCACTTGGACTTCTCCACGCTCGATTACCCCTCTAACGAGATGCAGTCTCACATTAATGTGCTTAGTCCGCTCATGATAGGCTGAATTCTTCGACAGGTGTATTGTATTTTGACTATCACATTTAACAGTGATAACTCGACCTTGAAGTTTTAGCTCCTTTGCAAAACCTTCAAGCCACAATGCTTCCTTCACAACTTCAGTTAGGGCAATATACTCCACTTCAGTGGTTGATAAGGAAACGACCTTCTGAAGTGTTACTTTCCAACTGATTGTTGTCCCAAACATAATGAACACATATCTAGAGATAGATTTTCTGGAATCCATACAACCTGCATAATCAGAGTCGACATATCCTTCGATTGCTGATTTACTATCTTCACCTAAGGCTCCAACATAAATTAGGACTCTATTCAGAGACCCGTTTATGTACCTTAAAATCCACTTCAATGCTTGCGAGTGAGCCTTTCCAAGATTCGCCATGTACCTGCTTACAAGACTTATTGCATATGCTATGTCGGGTCTAGTACAAACCATAGCATACATCAAAGAACCTACTATGTTAGCATATGGAATGCTATTCATATAAGTTCTTTCAACATCAGTGCTGGGACACTGATCTATACTCAGCTTGAATTGAGGGTTTGTCGAAGTCACAACAGGCTTTGAATTCGACATACCAAACTTTTTGAGAACCTTCCGTAGGTATGCCTCTTGAGATAAGCATAATTTCGATTGCTTTCTATCTCTCTGGATGTCAATCCCAAGAATCCTAGACGCAGCTCCCAAATCCTTCATGTCGAACTCTTTATTGAGTTCAACCTTCACCCTCATTACATCTTTGACATTGTTGCTTTCTATTAGAATATCATCCACATAGAGCAAAAAAATAACAAATGAATTACCAGGTCAAAATCTGAAGTAAACACAGTGGTCGAACTGACTTTCGATGAAACTTATGTGTGCCATGAACTTGTCGAATCTCCTATTCCACTGTCGAGGAGATTGTTTCAGTCCATATAAGGATCTATTCAACTTGCACACATAATCTTCCTTCCCTTTTTCGATATACCCTTCAGGTTGCCTCATCAGGATTGTTTCATCTAAGTCACCATACAAGAACACAGTCTTCACATCCATATGTTCCAGTTCAAGGTCGAACTGTGCCACTGTGGTAAGTAACATTCGAATAGATTTGTGCTTCACAATAGAAGATAACACATTATTGAAGTCGATACCTTCTTTCTGAGTGAACCCCTTAGCAACCAGTCTTGCCTTGTATCTCTTCGACGTCACTCCTTTGATTCCTTCCTTAACTTTGAAAATCCATTTACAACTGACTAATCTGGCTCCAGCAGGTTTCTTGATCAGTTCCTAGGTGTTGTTATCATGAAGAGATTTCATCTCATCATCCATGGCCTTCAGCCATTCAGTCTTCTTTTAACTCCTCATAACTTCCTTATAGTCTCTAGGTTCTTCATCTAGAACCTTACTAGCATAGATTAAGGCATAAGCTATAAGATCTGCATACCCAAGTCTCTGAGGTGGCTTGATGACTCTCCTCGACCTGTCTCTTGCTAGCAGGTAGTCATTATCAGTCTTCTCATCTTCGACAACATCTTCTGCGTCTTCTTCAACTTCATTTGGGGTTCACAATTCAGCATCAACATGCTCCACCTCAACAGGACACTCTCCTTGTTCCAGCTGTTCGTCAGCATCATTAGTTTTCTTGAAAGCCATCTCTGCTTCATTAAAAGCTACATCTTTACTGGTGATACACCTCCTGTGACCGGGCTCTAGGCACCATAGCCTATAAACTTTGATTCCTTCAGGGTATCTCATGAACATGCATTTCAGAGCTCTAGGTTCGACCTTGTCTTGCCTAATGTGATCATAGGCCATACAACCAAATACTCTCAGTCTGTCGAGACTAGGTGGATGTCCCGACCAGACTTCTTCAGGTGTCTTCATTCCCAAGGTAGTCGAGGGACATCTATTTATCAGGTAAGCTGCTGTCGAAACAGATTCCGCCCAAAACACCTTCTTCAATCCAGCACTAACTAACATGCATCTAACCCTTTCAAGGATTGTTCGATTGAATCTCTCAGCTAAGCCAGTTTATTAAGGAGTACCTGCTACAGTCTTATACCTTGCAATCCCAGACTCTACACAGTAACTGTCGAATGCTTCGTTGCAGAATTCAAGGCCATTGTCGGTTCTCAACCTCTTAGCCTTTCTGCCATTTTGAGTTTCGACCAGAATCTTCCAACTTTTGAAATTCTCAAAAGTTTCATCCTTTTTCTTCTGAATGAATACCCATAGTTTTCTAGAATAGTCATCAACGATTTATAGAAAATACCTTGCACCTGAGTGTGAAGGATTTCTTGCAAGCCCCCAAAGATCAGCATGAATATAGTTCAGGGATCCATGTGTTCTTTGCTTTCCTTTGTTAAACTTCGTCCTACAGGATTTAACAAATACACAAGATTCACAAAACTCCTAC